AACTTGTCCTCTTGCATAACCTATTAGTAGTTTGTGATTGGAACCTGTAATCTTCTTCAAGATCAGGGGTCTGAGAGAGGTTTGAAACAGGAAGATGGCGCAAGAAGAAGGTGCTTTCCCAGTCCAGGTCACTGATTTCACTGTGATCAGCGGCCTCTAAGCCCTTACTTGCCACCATTTCCTTGAACCTTTCTTCCATACACTTGTTGTAGTGCCTTTGTCAGCCTCTCCACACTGTCCATTAGCTCATGAGGTATCCCATGATTGACCAGCTTTAAACAATTCAACGATATATATATATATAGAGAGATAGAAAAGCAACTCAGTAAAGCTCTTTAGAACTATATACACACGCAAGAAGAGAGAGAATTAAAAAAACAGTGTTACCTCAAAGAAGCCCCAGTTCTCACAAGCATCTTTTATGATCTCCATTGTGGCAGCCCTCTCTTCACCATTAAGCTTCTCCATGTTAATGACTGGGAAAGTCTTCATCTCTCTGTGTGTGTATGTGTGTGTGTGTGTGCGCGTGTGAGAGAGAGAGAGTGTGTGTGAATTTATCTCTTTGTGTATACTGCAGGTGTAGGAGTAGATATATAGGCCTTTGTGGAGAGAGATAAGGAGAAAAGGTAGGGTGTCACTCTTCCACATTAATATAACCCCGGCACGAATTTGACACCCGTTACTGGTATGGTTAGTATTAAACATGAATATCCCGTTACTGGTATGGTTTTCAATATTGTAAATTTTAATCTAATATTATAAGTTTTTATTAACACGATACGATACGCAACTAAAAAAATTTGATCTAACTGTGAAACTACTTGAGACGATACAAAATACATTCAACAAGGTATAACTCGATTGACACCCCTACAAAGAAGGATATAAAATAATAAGTGGGGATGAACAATTAAAGTTAAGAATCCGGCCAAATCCAAGAAAAAGAAGAAAAGCAGTGCTTGTGGAGCATATAAGTGATCACATCCAGACAGACCTCCACCAACTTTGGCTGAATCTTTGGGCATGGTCTAGGGTTTGATCCACCTCTCTGATGGCCATGGGGTGGGACCAAGTATGGTGTGTTGGCTTGCTTTCTAGGGCCTTGACCAAACTAGAGGTGGTGACCGCTACTTTTGCCCGTCTTTTTTGTTATTGCTTCTGTTTGGATGCCTGAAGATGACATGTATGTGATCAAATCAAAGAGAGAATTGGTCGACGTGTGTGTAAGCTGACTCAGACATCTCGAATTGTTGAACCAAAAAAAAGAAGATAGACATCTATGAAGTTGTCTTTCACTTACCTAATTGCCTTTGTTTTATTGTAGGCAGTATTTTGCCATTGACAATTTGACATGCCTATGCAGCTTTATAATTTTTGGTAATCATTTACCCTAAAAACTTTGTGTCTAGATAAAGTTGATTAGGATTGATTCCAATACTTCAAAGCTTTTCAGTCATTATTTTCCTGTGAGAGCCTGTGATATCTACATAGTTTTTAACTTGTGAAGATAGTTAACTTCAGTGATTAATAGTTTGAGGTCCTAAGTTAGAGTCTTAAAAGTGATGCTAAGCATAGTTTTACGGTTGAATGCGTCCCATCTAAGGCGTATCCAAGATTGATACACAAGATTGATACAGTTCCACTTGTTTGATCACGTAGATGAAATTTTAGTTCCGTCCCGGATGAATAGTTACAATTATTTGAAGAATTAGTGTTTATTAATAAAAAAATTACAAAGTTGTAATAACAACACAAATAATTGCAACTTTCCACTTACATTTGTACCAAAATCATACACACACAATAAGATGTGACAAGAACACCAACATTATGTAACGAATATTTCATGGTCTTACAAATGAAATTGAATCACTCAAATTATCCGATCAAACCCTAATTGGTCACGAATATCGAGGATATCTTGGCCTTAGAATATATCAAGTATCTCGAGAATCGAACGGTTGCAGAGGGGACAAGACCCTCGATTTAACCACAACTCCCTTGAACACACCCTGCAAAAAGTGTGCCCACATGGTATGAAAGCTGCGCCCTTGTTCCTCCTCATGCACACGCAGCACATTGAATCACTCCCCGCCCCATTTTCCTCCTTCCCCGTCTCTCCATCACAGCCGTCTGATTCTTCCAGCAATCTCATCAACGATACTCTCAACGGTGTCCCTGGTGATGTTTCGGCAGTTACGTCACTCGGCCCATTGATATCGGGCCTTGCTGGCCTTGGACTTAAACCAAATCCATTGTTATTGGGCCTTATTGGACTTGGGCTTGAGCCGAAACCTCCATCAGATTCTTGGGTCGCCCGGAAGTGTCGTTCGGCGGCCAACGCCGCCGCCAGGTTCATACCTGAGGCACCAGGAATATGACCCACACAGTCGGGATCTGACTCTGTCTCCGGCGGAGACTGACCCACATCACCACCCCCTATTAGTTGCTCCTGTGGGCCTTCATCGTCCTCATCGTCTCTGACGCTTACAGTCGATGGCCCGAAAACCCATGTGGCGCCACAGCATCCCAATCCTAGCCGTTCTTTTAGACTCTTCCGACTTCTCAATCGATCGACCCCATTCATTCTCTCTCTCAAGAACTCCACTATCGTTCCTGCTTCTCTTTCTCTCTCTTCTCTTCCCTGCAAACCCAGAGCCAATATTTCACCCATTTGGTTCATTCTTTCACACACACAGAAATCAAAATTTCACACACAGCATAAAAACACACACACACATCTCTCTCTCTCTCTCTCTCTCTCTCTCTCCTGCAAACCCAAAGCCCAAAGTTTCACCCATTTGACTAGTTCTTTCACACACCCAGAAACCAATACAAAACACACACACACATGCATGGAGGAATTAAAGGTTAAGGCATGGAAATAGCGTGACTTACTTGAAGAATGGGCAAGACCCACGAGCCCACCACCTCTCTGAGACTCTTGAGCCAATTCACAGGATAGAGAGTGAACAAAAATGGGGGAGGCGACCATAAATGAGAGAGAGAGAGAGAGAGAGAGAGAGAGAGAGGGTCCAAAGGAAGCGGTTTTGAGAAGATGGGGAAATCAATAAATGGTGGGTTTTGGTGATATCATTGACAGCTTCGCCATAGATAAGAGAGAGTATAAGCTTTGAAGAAAGAGACAGACAAAATGGAAGAATAAGAAGAGGTTAAGAGATGAAAATAATAAGAAAATGGTGGGCCATTGGAGAGTTTTCTTGATTGCAAGAAGAGCATTTGGTTCTTTAATATGTATTGAAGTATAGTATTAACATTTTTTATTTGTTTTCCAAGGTATAATATTGATTGATTTTGTTGGTTTATTATGTGGTTAAGTTTTGTGTGTGGTGGTTGCCGGCAATTAGCTATAACTAAGTCAAAAGCCATTGAAGCAGGAGGCGCAGACACCGAGGTTTAACCATGTGGCACTTGGGACCTTGCCACCGGTTTAAGGTGAGTGCGTGTAGGTTAACGAAGGATGTGTCACCCAAAAGCTAGAATCTTATGAAGTGTCCCTGCCGAAATCTGTGTATTCTGAAAACGACAGTTTAATTTTACCTAGAAAAACAATAAAGATAATAAAATTATTTATGTAAATTCAAATATTTTAAATTATAATAATTTTTTGTGGGTCGTACCCTGAAAAAATTATATCTTACGAATATTTTAATCTTGACATTCTTGACTGTTAATCTTAAAAAAAAAACACAAAGATAACATAGTTAAGAAGAAATGGATTTTTTTAAAAAAAATTATATCTTGTAAGTTTTAAGTTTAACTATGGTTAGAAATTTTTCCATGCAATTTGTCAGATTGATAATGTGTCATGATGTGTTTATATCGTCTTTAATTTACTTTAATCATATTTAATTTATTTATAGTTAGATTTATGCCATATATATAAATTGTGAATTATTATATAATGATCAAATAATGTGAATTCATTTATTACTTGATTCTAATCCCGAGTAAATCAGGGTAAGAATTGAATCCATTAAGACAAAACATCATTGTATCCGATTAAGAGATCCTTATAGATTATCAACTCTAAATAAATTAAAAGTAATTGGATGTTTTTTAAGAACTATATTACAATCCCAAGTTCAAATCATATAAAGATGGTATTCTATTACGAAAAAATGCAATAAAATTGCTAATAACAAATGAGATTAGATTTGTGGCCTCGGACAAGATAATCCAATCCAACAGCTGTTATCCCCTTTTATCCCTTTTGCCAAACACACCCGTTAATTATTAATTTCTTTACCCCCTCACTCTCCTCATAGCACATCAATTAATTTTTTCTTATATTAATGTCACATTTTTTCCTTCATTTATTAATTTTTTTAATCCATTCTAACGGTTGTTGTTGGAAAATTTTGCCATATGATGATTGGAATTTGACTCCTCAATATCAGGAGGGATGTGATTGTCAAAAAACAAAGGAAAAGAAAAGAAAAGGGAAAAGTCCAATAACTGTGACTATCAAAGCTTGCAGAAGGCAATGAGACAATGATTGATGGTTTGATTTTTGGAATTAAAAGTAGTTAGAATTCCCATTTCAATGTATTGCTCATTTGTTTCTCAAAATAAGTGGGTTCCACTAAAATATTTTTAAAATCTTTAAAAAAAAACAAATTGGAATGATATCATTATAATAATTAATCTGATATGGGAATCATATTATTTTAATTTAAATCATTACGATTATTCCAATTCACAATTCTGTTAGAACCAAATATATTATTGCTTCTGTTGAATAATTGCATCAATGATTGGCACCCGAAGGGGTCTAATACACAATAGTTGTGGCGAAGACAATAGTGGTGGTGGGGGTGGTGTTGGTAGAAGTAATAGTGAAGCGGTTTCAAACACTATTTTTTATTAAAGTATTTATGAGATATAATTTTTAAAAGTACTTTTAAAAAATTACTCTAAACACACCCTTATGGCCCTATTTTCTCTATTAAATTTAAGGTGTTAATATTAGTCGTTAGATTAACTTTAAAATAAAATTTAAAGTGATATCAACCGCGAATAGTAAAAATTATTTTTTTTATTTTTGAAATTTGAATCATAAACTACTTTATTATATAAATATTTTTCATTAATTAATAGTCCATAATCTAGGGGAAAAAAATTGGAGTCAAAATACATTAGAGAGAAATTAAATTCATCTACATGTATAGCGGCCCCAATTAGTTGGGTTAAATTTGTTGAGAAACTTATATTTTATTCATAACTACAAATTATTTAAATTTTGAATTAAATTCTATTAAAAAGTTGAGCATTCAAAAAGGGTTTCAAACCCTGGTGTCAATTTTATCATATAGGTCATATCAACAGCTAATTCAACCTATATTAATAAAACATTGTCTTATCTATTAAGTTTGAATACATCAAGCTCAACGTGTACCTTTTAACTACTTAGTAGTACCCAAGTTGAATTTAAAAAAAATATACGTAAATTTTTATTTTATTTTTTGTTACAGGATATGCAGACTTGTACCGACTTATAAAATTACTTTCAAATATGAATCCTAAAAGATATCATCACCTCATTATTGTCATTAAATGCCTCCCCATACCTAACAGAAGAAAAATATAATCTAACCAACTAGGTCTCATCTAATTAAATACAAATCTAATTAGGAGGTTAGAGAAGTAAACCATACTCAAATCTAATAATAAATTCTCATATGTCCCACTTTTTGGTTGGAGTGTGATATTCTGATCTTATTTAAGATTTTAGTTTGTTTATATTTTTGTTGTAATATTGATATACTAGATATTATTCGTGTTTGAAGGCACAAAGTAATAAAAAAAAATAATCAACAATAAACATATTTGTATTTACATCCAAAATTAAATCATAAATATAAAAGAGAGAGAAAAAAATTTAAACACCAATTATAGTGGGGATAAATAATAGTAGTGATAGTGGGTGACAGTAGTGATAGTGGAAGATGGTGATGGTCGTGTTGGGCGACCACGATCGTGGTGGTGGTGGTAGCAGCCGTAAAGTGGCAATAGTGATGGTGATGATGAGTTTTGGGTGACAATGGTGGTAATGACAGTCATGAGTGACGATGATGGTGATAGTATACAACGATAATGGTGGTTGACAGTAGTAGTGGTGGGACGACAATGGCGGTCGGCGGTAATGATAGTGGTAGTGGGTGACGATAGTGTTTCTAAGCGACAATGACGATGGTTAGTGGCGAATGACGACGGTGGTAGTGGTAGGTGCGGTGGGGGTGGGTGACATTGGGTGGCAACGATGGTGGGCGATAACAGCTGGTGGTGGTTGATGGTGGTAAGTGTGGTGGGGGTGGGTGGTAGTGGCTGGCGACGAAGGGTAGTGATGAGTTATGGTAATGGGATGATGGTAGTAGTGAGTGTTGGTAGTGGGATGATGGAGGTGGTGAGAATAAATATAAAAATGAGATAACGATATTGATAGGTGGTGGCAATGGACAACGATGACAACAATTAGTGTTTGATGACGATGATAATAAGGTGGATATAATGACGATGATAGTGGTAATGGTAATGGTGGTGGTGGTGGTGCGGTGGCGACAATGGTGGTGGCAGCAACGGTGGGACAGTGATGGTAGATGTTGTGGCAGAGGTGGTAGTGGGGTGGCAGCGGTGACAATAGTGATGGTAGTGGTGATGATGGTGGTAGGGCGGTGAGGGTGGGGGTGGTTGGAGCCTTGGATGGTAGTTATGGTGGTGGGATGGTGACAAATGGTGGTTGTAGGGCAATGGTGGTGATGGCAGTGGTGGTGGCATGAAGGTGGTGATAGTAGTGACAATAGCGACGACTGTGACGGTGGTGGTGGTAGAGACAGTGTTGGGGTGGTAGTGGTTATGGCGGCAGTGGTGATGGTGGTGGAGTTATTTCAAACACTAATTTTTTTATTTTAGAGTACTTATAAAAATTATAAGTTGTAAAAGTATTTTTAAAAAATCATTCCAAATACATCCTTAAAGGCCTATTTTCCTATTAAATTTAAGGTGTTAATATTAGCTGTTAGATTAACTTTAAAATAAAAATTAAAGCGATCTTAACTGCGAATAGCAAAAGTCATTTTATTTATCTTTTAAAATTTAAATTATAAGTTACTTTATTATATAAATTGTAATTGTTATAAAGATTAGCAGTTAATTTAACGATCGCCATCTCACTGTTAAATCTTAAAATGGTATGTTTAAACCTCGTGGTCTTTTTTCTATAAGAATGTTTGACAAAAACAATAAAATATTTGTCATAATAGTTCATCATTGCATGTCAAAAGAGGAAAAAGAAACAGTAAGTGATCATTGTGGAGGGCTGAAAAATGAAATGTAATGGTAATGTGGGCCAATGGAATGGCCTGACTCATCAGTTGGGCTTCGTCTTTAACCATGAATCACCATTGTTCGTATGAATCAGGACTTAGCTCACTAGAGTTAGCCCACTGGACTTGGTGGGCTAAGCCTAGAGTCGGCCCACTGGATTTAGTGGGCTAGGCCTAGTCCAGTGAGCTAAACAGCATAATTGCACTTTAAGAATGATAAAAGTTGTTACAAACAGTTTACGGCACAGACCGCGTGATCCTTAATGGATTCGCCTTTCGGATTAATTTAATAAGATGACACTAAATCATAAATAATTTAGATATATACTAAATAAAGGAAAATGCTAACACAAATAAATTTATACAACAGTCACCAATATTTTTCTCAAAATTATTCATATTATATTTTACTTTCAGGTACAGATTATCCATAATATCTATAATATAAAATAAAACAGATTTTAATAAGTTTATTTGATAGTTTTAAATAGACTTATTCAACGATAGTCAATATTACCCTCAAAATTATTTACATTATACCGTACTTTCGTCCACGAATTAAGTCTAATCTATAATATAAAACAGAACAGATTTCAATAAATTTTTTCAACGATTATCAACATTCCTATTAAAAACATTCATTTCGCCACGAGTTACCAAAGGCCCAGTAATAAACAAACCACGCCTTCGTACATGCCACATGTCTTTTGTTTCTATTACATCCATGCCGACGTGCAGCAACCAAACATATGGAAAAAAAAAAAAGGTCTTCCGTCAATCTCTCAAAATATTATTCCACGTGTCGAGCCCTCACGCCCTCATAAAATGTTTCGTAAACCCGAGAGTACCCTTTTGAAGAAAAACTTCTTGTTAATCCGTCATAACTGGAACGAGAGTTTATTGTTAGTGGTGCAACTTGGCCAAATTAATCTGTACACGGGTTGGGATCAACTAGAACTACACCTGTAGTCTACCCCAAATTCTATTACTTGATAATCTTATTTATTTTTTGTTCAAAATTCAATTCAAATTATACAACGTGAGTAAAAAAATTTAAACATATATAATACTCAAATCGAATTATTCAGATTAAATTTGAGTTTTAATTAAATTTCAAATTAAATATTTCATTAATTTAACCCCAACCTCGTCCTAGTCTAAATGTTGTAATAATTAATTTAAATAGTTTATTAAAAAAAATCAATCTTTCTTGGGGGGCAAAACTGTCAATTTAAGTGATATTCAACCGCCAACTCATGTCAATTTACATATAGTCAATTTTGATTCTTTGGTTTGGAGTCTTTCGATTTCTCTGTTCTCACCTGTCTCTCTTTTCTTCTCATATCAGAGCACTCTGCTTTCGTTTCTCCATCAAACCCACATCACAAAAATGGCTTCAGTGTCTTCTCTACATCAATTCCCATGCAAAACCCTCTCGGTGGCCCAATTCACCTCAAAGCCCTCTCTTTTCCTGGCGAACTCTATCAATTTCACCCCCGGAAAAGCGATACAAAGCTCAAATTCAAAGCTTTCAGTTGGAGAAATCGCAAAGGCGAGACTGGGTGGTTTTCGAGTCCGTGCAGTGGCGGATGATGACGAGTGGGGCCCAGATAAGGAGTATTCTACCGGAGTGGCGGTGGTGGAAGAGCCGACGGAGATTGATTTGCTGAAGAAGCAACTGGTGGATTCTTTCTATGGGACCAATCGAGGGCTTAGAGCGTCGAGCGAGACGAGGGCGGAGGTCGTCGAGCTCATCACGCAGCTCGAGGCGAAGAATCCGACTCCTGCACCGACGGAGGCATTGACTTTGCTGAACGGCAAGTGGATTCTAGCGTAAGTTTTACTCATCATGGCATTAATTAATTGTTTCATTATAATTTAATGTTTTTGATTTATTTTTATTTGTTAGTGTGATCCACATGATTAGTTTATAGCCATGAGTTGTGAGCAATAAGGTGATATTTAGCTCAATGTTTGGGTTTAAGTCTCCATAGCTACTTTTTAGCCTCCCAAGCATGCGGTGAGGCATTAGCTTCGGCCAGACGTGAGTGCGGTGGAGTCTCCTGCAGATAGGTTAGGTGTGTGGTGATGAGGGCAATGATCCCTTGCGGATATCCATATCGCACCCAAAAAAAAAAGATTTGCTATTTATTTGTGGATAGATGTTTAAACTTTAGGTAGTTCAAATATCCCCTTCTTGAAAAGTACAATTTTGAACTGTGATATTTGACAATTGGCCTTGATGGAGAAGACTGATATATGGACTTGTGCAAAAAAGCCCGGACGGGGACTGACATTGGTGTGTGTTATTGTGGAGAACTTGAAACAGGAACACAGCCCATGTGGTTATGCTGTTAGGTAACTTTGTGAAATATTTTCAGTAATTCAAGACCAATCAAAGCATCATGTGAGCTCTGCTTACCTAAATTAGTTTTCATCTCACCCTTTTAAATGTTAAATCCTACACCATCATTATGGGATATGAAATGAAATTACAACATCAAGTGTAATTTAGTTGGATTATTGTTAATAAGTGTGTCCCACAGCTGAAGAATTGTGTGGAGAACATGAGATGTTGCGTTGACAAAAAATAAAGATTGAGATGATAAAACGTTCAGGATCAGCACAAAATATGCCTACAGTTTAGAGCACAGGTTGCATTTTTGAACTTCTGCAATCATTGACAGTGTGAAAAACGAACTTGTCATTAATTATACAGCAAAGGTGATGCCAAATGAGAAGGTGGATGCCAGCAGGAGGATGTAACATCCAAATTACAATAAAAGAACCGTATGCACAGCATTGGTACAAATATTTGATGGTACATAATTTTCCATATGTATGCTTTGATTTTTCATGATTGTCTGTACTGCTTTTGTACATTACTCCACCAATTTTCTATTGCTTGTATCCTTCACATATCATATGCATCAATTTGATGCTGCATCATGCATGTGTTGTTCCGTGCTTTTATATTGTCCTAGATGAATTGATTAATGGAAATCTGGTTATGGAGGGTGACTGTCTCACATGGTTACGGTAAAAAGCTGAACATGAAATTGGGCTGAGATAACACCCTGCATATGTATAGAAAAATCTTCATGGAGTTTCATCAATTAATAATCATGGACATAGTTACTTGTTACGTGGTGCATGCAGGTACACATCATTTGTAGGTTTGTTCCCGTTGTTGGCAAGGGGAACACTTCCACTGGTGAAGGTGGAGGAAATATCACAGATCATTGACTCAGAGAATTTCACGGTTCAGAATTCTGTCCTGTTTTCTGGACCATTGGCTACCACTTCCATTAGTACAAGCGCAAAATTTGAAGTTCGAAGTCCCAAGCGTGTGCAGGTTTGTTTTGATCTTTTTTCTTGTATTCTCTCTTTTTAAAAATTAATTATGTCAACAAAGGCAATGATCTGGTAAGTGGATTGTTCTGTTGATACATGCCATATGTTCACGTGCTTTCCTAACAGTATCATTCACGTTCTTCCACGTTATGAGTTTAGAATTTACAAAATATCATCTGTCTATATGTGTATATATCAAACCCATATCCAGTGCAAGATAAATGGTTGGAAAGGTAGAGTTTTGCAAGTTCTCTCTTTGTCTTTCTTAAAGTATACTTATTTCGTTTTTTAGCAAAGGCAAGGGCCAATTATAAACAATGAAGTTGAAGAATTCTTTGAGGAAAAAGATATCTATTTTCTCCACTTGATGTGGTTCCCATGGGCCTCTTATCAGAATTTTGTTTAGTTATTGCCTCTCCATTTTTACATATTCTGTAGACAAATATGTTGCCAAATTCTCAATTTCTTATTCAGTTTTTGGTTGAATACAGATTAAATTTGAAGAGGGCATCATTGGGACTCCTCAGTTGACTGACTCGATTGTGCTTCCAGAAAATGTGCAATTTCTTGGACAAAATATTGACCTCACACCATTCAAAGGCTTGATCACTTCTGTACAGGACACAGCTTCGTCTGTTGCCAAGACTATCTCTAGCCAACCACCACTGAAATTCTCTATCCCCAGCAACAAAGCAGAATCTTGGTTGCTAACCACATACCTTGACGATGATCTTCGTATTTCAAGGGGAGATGCAGGAAGCGTGTTTGTGCTTATAAAGGAAGGTTGCCCACTCCTAAAACCTTGAACAAATTGGTAATATGCATTGTATTTTCTCTGAAGGCGTGTAGAATTTTATCAAATAATACATGACGAACAAAGCAAACTTGTCTGTAACTATTGATCCTTCTCCAATAATTTGGATTGCTTTACAAATATATGTAGTTCCTGTGAACACTATGATTGCAGCTGTGCAGTGAGATCAGACGCTATTTTATTTGATCTGTGGTGGGAGAATTTTTGTTTTTCTCATCAGATTCCGAGTAGTTACCATCAAAGCTGATGGCACATGGTTTAAATATTATTCATTCAATGAATTTGGACAGGCATGGTAGCCATTCTAGAGCAGCTATCCACTGCTGCTTAATTCATGCATAACGATGGGCACGGCAGATAGTCTAACAGTCAACAACATTAATTCCTCATGCACAACACAGCATTCCGCCAGGGTGACCCTATTCCTGGACTTGAAAGCGTGGCTGAGTACCTCCATATGGGTATTTATGTATTTGGTATCTCTGTCAGTAGCAACGCTCCTGTGATGGCGTGCCCAAACTGTGGCACAATGCCGTGATCTATTTGGAAATCTATTTGGGAATGAGAGATGTTCAACGAAGATTTCACACAACCAGTTCCACCACCATGGTTGACACTTAGCTTAGATTTGCTTCAACATCTACTTTTACATTTCTCCTGATCCTCACATCACCCTTTCGACTAAAAGACTTCAGCCAGTCACTTCGTCGAACCTCACTAATGCTAGGATTAGCACCATCCAACCTTGTGCCACTTCTTCCAGCAGTTTTCACATATTACTGTTGTTTGCTTTTCCAAGATTCTATATGTTACTCGGATATCTTGTATGGTTTCGAGCTTTACATATTTTTATGAATTCAAGTACTTCCAGTTTTGCCTTTTATGACTTGTTTTCGGTAGGTAAAAGTTCTATTTAACGAGAATATAGATGTAAAATATTGCTCAATACTGCCCCCCTAGGACTACACTAAGCATGCTCTTGCTTAGAGACGCTCGCTTAACACTGCCCGAGAAGAAATACAAGCCATGCCCAAAATGCGCATTGAACTGTAAGATCCCTTGATACATGATGTAGCAGTTTCACTTGCCTGAGGTGTTTGCTTCTTTTCTCTCATTTCATTTGATTGCGACTCACCCACTCCATGTCATGCCTTTGGTCCCTAACATGTTACAATTTACAATGTCTTGTCTCAACGTGCCTTGAGCACTTTGCATGTGGATCTTTCTTTAAGGTAAAGGGTACTCTAGCAGTTACCATAAAGCTGATAATTCTTATCATGATTTGTGAATCTGAAAGAATTTTTTTTTTTGATATGGGATTAGCTTCAATGGGCCAAGTCATATAAGGATTGACTCGTTAGCCCCCCTTAATACTTGATTCGATATGAATCTGGTTGTACACGACACGAATCTGATTATACAGAGTTATACATAAATTTGACTAGAGACAACTATATTCTATATACAAACCCGACACGACACAAAATCGTTGTCAACCCAGTCTCAAACTCTTCGCTCTGAAGCTCCAAGGTTCTATTGGTGCAAACCTATTTCCAGAAATATTAAGGGATTCCTAACATAAAAATCACACAAGTGGTAGGTTATATCTGTGTGATTGAGTCTCTATATACCACACCACATGCTTATGCATTTTCATTATATGCATTTTCATTAGACAGGACTAATCGTCTAAAAAATGTTATGTCCCAATCAATACATTTTACAACACGAGAACAGATTAGTGCAGACTTCATGGAATACCTCAAGAATTACACCTCGATATTCCTCAGAATTCATCGAAACATAACAATTTAGAAGACAACGAAGATCTTTTGGCTCGGAGATCCGATTTGCCATTATCATCTCCACCATAGACTCTCTAAAATCTTCCACAGGATCATCAGATGACTTCTCCATGGCAACCATAACAATGAATTTAGTACATTCACCTCTCGCCCTCCTCCTCCCTTCGTGTCTCGCCTCTTGCCTCTCTCTGATCATTTGGTCTAACCTCTCTTGAACCATGGCGTGTGCAATGCTTGAGATTGTCGGAAACCGATCAGAACCCGAGCCCTCAGCTTCCTCGGAGGAAGAGACACTGAGCCTACAACTGCAACACAAGGCACTGCATCCTTTGAGCTGAAGCTTTTGCTTCTTCAGTTCTCTGGAGCCTTGCATTCTTAGGGATTGGCACAGAGCTATGAAGGCAGATATGAGCAAAAAAAATTGATTTATGCACAACTGGAAGTGGGTGGCACTGATCATGATCATGTCTCAAATCATGCACACTTAGAACATAACCCAAAAGATTAAGTGGGGTTTAAAGGATGAAGATTGGAAGGCAACTGGGGAACATTAGGTTGTTGGGTGATTATGGTGTTTGATAGATCTACTTTAATTTCCTTTATAGGTTGTATTAGGTGTCTTTCTTTTGTTCTTGTGGCTGAAATGGAAAGAATGAAAACCATGAAGCCTTAGGGTACTATAATATTAATTCAGAAGGGGAAAACAAACTGCAAAAGTGAGGTTTTGCTTGGTTTCACATGGTATTTATAGTAGTGGTTCAGATAAGACTGTGGTACCAAAAAATGATTTGTGACTATAGATTTTCAGTTGATTCATTTGTAGTAATAAAGCAACGTAATAAAATAAGAGAACTTATAATGTGTCACATACTTATTGGTTGAAAAAAGAATGAATGGTATCTGAAATTAACTTTTGATGCCACCGTTGTAACCAATTAGTAGTTGTTGTCCACTTGCTTTAACTTGAGCATTAATGGGACAAGTTTTGTTAGTTGAAGCCAAAGTAAGCCTCCACTCAATTAGATGGGCAGATTCTGGTTTTGAAACACATGGTCTTATCATTGAAGATATAAAAAAGATCAAGCTAAATAGTCTGTAAAAATACATCCTACAACACTTTTGTGAGAATAATTTTTTCATTGAGGCTCTAGTCAAACAGCTTTCTGTTGAGTTCTTAGTACCCCACATGTTGTGCCATGATGCCTGTGGGATAGCTTCTCCTCGTACAGAGTACAAGCTTTTTAGTTGAAAAATGAAATCCCATCAGCCTAAAAATGAACTGACAAATTAACCAAATTACATCAACTGAGAAAGAGGAAAAGAATAA